AGAGGGTGGAGTACTTATGGACATGTTCCACTGCAGGGGCAAATTTTGGAATTTTGTTAACTTTTTGTATCATTATTAAATCAGTGCTAACTTTTCATTATTTTAAATACACACAAATTCAGCGCGTATGCAGGACGTTCCAATTGTATTGAGACAAATTGAAGTACGCGTGGGATACACAGTTGGGTAGAGATATGAAAATCGTATAGGTAGATTAAAAATGAAAAATGGTAGAGAAGGTTAAAAGTTGAAAGAGTAACGGTGGAGTTGGGAAAACGACAGAAGTTGGGATTGAGAATCCAACGTGTGGGGCGGGTCATTAGTTTCTTCTGTAGTTTCCGTAATCATCGCTCCTTAGACACCGCTCCCGATTCACTTTAACTCTAACGTAGTGCTTCACATTATATCACCTTTTTTCTTTCCTCTCTCTCTCTCTCTCTCTCGAGCTGCACCCACCGAACCACTGCTACTGTTACCGATGCCATCAACCTTCTTGGATGAATGAGTGAACGTATAAAACGATAGCGTTTAACTTTTGAGAAAATAAGTTGGAAAAAAGCGAATTAGCTGCATCGGATGCTCCAAACAAGATGTCTGTGACAGCTTCCGGTTTGTCTTGTTTGCGGTGTTATGATTCAACACTGAGGACTTGTGCGAACCTTCTCATTTTTTGTCAAAATATGCCAAACAGCTCACATGGAAAGGAGGGAAATTTTGGATTCTGGGCCGAACGAGTAAACCTCAAGTTAAACCGAAAAAGCTCCACTTTGTCATGGTCATGCTCATGGAATCCCTTTTAACGGAAATAGTCAAGCATCCATATCATGAACANTCTCTCTCTCTCTCTCTCTCGAGCTGCACCCACCGAACCACTGCTACTGTTACCGATGCCATCAACCTTCTTGGATGAATGAGTGAACGTATAAAACGATAGCGTTTAACTTTTGAGAAAATAAGTTGGAAAAAAGCGAATTAGCTGCATCGGATGCTCCAAACAAGATGTCTGTGACAGCTTCCGGTTTGTCTTGTTTGCGGTGTTATGATTCAACACTGAGGACTTGTGCGAACCTTCTCATTTTTTGTCAAAATATGCCAAACAGCTCACATGGAAAGGAGGGAAATTTTGGATTCTGGGCCGAACGAGTAAACCTCAAGTTAAACCGAAAAAGCTCCACTTTGTCATGGTCATGCTCATGGAATCCCTTTTAACGGAAATAGTCAAGCATCCATATCATGAACACAGCACAATCATCCTCATGTTAACTAATATACTTTATTAGATTATGTATGCATGGGACACCCAATTAACCTGGAAGGTCTTTGACATTATTAATACGTATATATATACAGTGTTATTTGTATTTGGAGTTTTCTGTTTAGAATGGGGACATGATTGTTATTTGAAACCAAAAATTGGGGGGCATGATCATGGACGATGGATGATGGAGGGGCTAAAATTCAAATTGCTTAAATGCAAGCAACCATAATGAGGTTGCGTCATGTGGAAATATGATTATGAGAGGCAAATGAAGGTGAAAAAAAAGAGAGAGAGATTGCGTGGGGGACATGGGAAGGGGTGACTTTAGTGGTAGGGTCCTAGTCCTAGTCCTACTCTTAGCTTTCGTCCCTCCAAGGCACCCATCCTAAGGCCATGTGCTTCCCACACGGGTCGGGTCAGTAGAAGACACAAAACACACATCAAACCCTTTGTCCAATAATCTTGCTCCACGTAGCTTTTAATTTATTAATGTGAATGGCTGTGAGATTTTTTTTTTCCCTTTTTGTATATTTTGACAAAGAAAAACATATTCTTATTATGATCAGTCCCCATGTACGCAACCTTGTTATAAAGAATACAGGTATCAAAAGTGGGTTTAGCCTACGGTCAATTTACATGTTGGTTTTTGTAACAAAATTTAGCAATTTTCTCGATCTCTTGGTACGTTTTATTTTGAATTGTTTTTCATTAAACTGGTGATTAACACATTTTTTAAAAATTAAAGATAAAAATAAAATTCTAAAAATTAAAAAAAAAAACAAGATGGATTACGATTTATAGTTACTTCATTTTTACGGGGTCAATAACAAACTAAACTAGATTGTTTTGTCCCCTTTAAAAAACGATGTAAATTCTATTTTTTTCTTTTGTATATATATAATGTCATATACCAAGATGACTCGCGTTAACAAAAGGAAATCTACATATATATGTTAAAATAAAATAAAGGATCTATTTTTAATAGAGAAAATTATTATAGTAAAATAATAATCAATCGATAAAGTGTTAAATAATATTTCCACATCTTAATTCATTATTTTGAAAAAAGTTATAAATCTTTAATGTTAAAAAATACTATTATAGATATAGTATTATTTTCTAAATCCCTTAAACAAACTTTTAAATTTTTTCCCCTCTAATATCTCATTCATACATGGAATTTTGTCTTTACTACTCATTGTCCAAAATTGTGAAACTTGAATTGTTGAGAATCCTCCTTGCATAATGCAATGCGACTTTTAAAAATTGTTAGTAATTTTATTCATTCTCATAGACTTTGCCTCTAATGTAATGTTCTTGTCATAGAAATTTGTGTTTAAAATCATTCTCCTTCCTGTACATAGGAGCAAATGTTTATATCAATTTTTAGTTTTTTTTTATAATTTATTTCTCCAGACATTTTAAGATGAGGAAGTGGAAGTATAGCTAAAACGGTATAGAAGTAATAAAAGTTTAGCTTTATAAGACAATTTCAAACTTGCTTTTATTCAATTTGTAAAACTGTTTACGAGACTTAAGTCATTCTAAATTTCAACAATAACTAATATGTGAAAGAAGAGGTTATTGTTAATATACATTATTCTTGTACTACATTATGTTCACATATTATATAAAGTTTATTTTAAAACCATTATTGTATTTTACATTACACGTTATAATATTATAAATAAACAGAAAGAAAGAAGATGAACCTCAAGCTAACTAAGAGGGGAATTTATGTAATATATTTGCTTTTATCTTTTTATATTATTTGATAACTAATTTTATTTATTCTATTATATAACATATTCTATAATTTTATTTCTCTCTCTACGAAATTAGAAGATCATAAGACTAATGCGATCACACTTGACATTTTTTTAATATACTCAAATATTTATATAATATTTTTGAACTTTTCTTGTAAATCCCGATTTTCTAATATATATATATATATATATATATATATATATATATATATATATATTAATTTATTAACTAATAACAATAATAATAACTATTATAAAAAAGTTGAAAATAATTGTGATGAAAAAAAATTTGATTCGAAATTTGGAAAGGTAAGTGAAATTCAATAAATTGTTAAAGTTTGATTTTGGTAAAGAATTCACTAATTAACACTTTTCCTTATTAAAATAAGTTAATACAAAAGTTGTTAAAGTATGGAAATTTATGGGTGGTGAAGCTTAAGTCCTTTTTCACGAACTTATTTATCTTTGTTTTTAAATTTGTATTCATTATGATTCTCGTATCTTTAACTCATTTGCATATATGTGATCAACAATTGGATTGGAAAAATCGATGCACAGACAAAAATAGGATCATGAGAGGGTTCCAATATTTTTGTATGTTTAACTCTAATTCAGACTTAACAATTATGAATGCTGTAATTTCTGAAACCACTCTGGGACGGATTGGAGAGGCAGAGGAAGTGTCTTCGTTGGTGGCATTTCTGTGCTCGCCTGCAGCCTCTTGTATCACTGGACAGACCATTTGTGTTGATGGCGGCTTCGCTGTGAACGGCCTCCATATATTCTAGCCTTAGCCTTAGTTTTCACATTTTCTGTGTTACGTCAGTTACACTCTCATGCATACTATCATTGCATTTCTGTGCTTGCCTGCTGCCTCTTACATATACACCCGAATAGTTTCTCTAGCATACATTTATATTTATTATTCATAATTATAAATATAAATTCACGTTGTATTTTCGATGCATTTTAAGTCTTCATCCCTCTAAGCACCGAGCGATGAACGTTAGGAGTTACAAAAACATTCCCTAGGTCGAAAAGGTTCAGGTAAGAACTACGAAAGCGTTTCTCACCGAGCGGCAAATACTAGGAGCTACGGAAACGTTCCCTAGGTCAAAAAGACTCAGGTGAGAGCTACAAAAGGGTTCTTCACCTAGCAGTAAACTCCACTTGGTCAAGTTGTTTATATGCAAGGTTATGTCTTGAATACTGAAGAATAATAATTCAACTTTAAAATATCATAAAAAATATTAGACAATTAGACTAACACATTTATGACTTAAACCGTTAATATTAATGTATTTTGTTATAAGGCCGGACGACCAAGCAAGAGCGAGACCGTCCGGTGGTCTTTTATTGAACGTTTGAAGATAAAAAATGAGATATCCATATTAAGAGGTTTCATGGACGACATATTAGTGCTTAATGCTTTGTGACCGAGTGGGAAAGAGACCAAGGTCTGTCCATAACCAGTTGAAGACCTCATTCATGGAGGGTGCTTAGCGAGGGACTCAAATCACAAAGCTTTTCCTGTACTCAAGCCTTAGATGGACTATATAAATTGTTTTAAGATATCCCTTATCATGTATGAATATTCCCTCCACATATATGAACCTGAAAAGTAGCCTCAAAATACACAGGTCAAAGAGTACAATTTTATCGCTTCCGGTTAGGGTAGAGATGACCATGTTTATATCAGAATGACGACAAATAAGAAAGCATTCCCGAAGTGCATTGAAAATCTCCCAACATTCACTACAGAATTTAAAAATACCCTCATTTTCATGAGGAAAGTAAGTGGTCAGTTCATCAATTAATTTATCATTTTTTTATTTTGCACTTGAACATAAATGTTATTTGGTAGATGGAGAGGAGGACGACGGTGTCGTTCATTCGGGAAATGCAGTTGTAAAGGAGCATAGAGTAATCGTTGCCAAAGTACCAATTAAGGGTTATGTTCTCTGTGTTGAGCACTAGGGCGTACGAGTTTGGGTTGGCTTTGAGAAGGTCCTTGCTAGGTCAACAGAAATGAGTTTCGCACTACATCCCATGTCGCCCAGGTTGTAGCTCTTGATGTTGCTCCTCAACTTGTAGTGGTTAACAATGAGTTTTGCACTCCATCCCATGCCACCCCATGTCACTGGGATTTTCTGTTCCTTCTCCAACTTGTTATGAATTAAAAATGTTCTGATAATTCCTTGCAACTGTAGCCAAGGACAATAAAGCAAACTAAATCTCAAAAGCAAAAAGAAAGGGATTCATTTTTCTTCCCTTGAAATATATATATATAAAATAGTTCATCCATATTTTAAACACAAATATAGAGTTTATGACTTATCTGTTCTTATACTGGCTTTTATAAAACATTTTTTATAACCTTGCACTTAGTGGTAAATAGTACGAGAAAAAGAATGTGTAGGTGATGGATTTTTTTATAAAAGAAGCAACGATGCTGAGACCGAGCACTCATCTGGTTCCACATGATTACAAGGTTTCGGTAGGAGCCAACGCCAAAATGTTTCGGTAGAGTTAAGATCTCTGACCCAAAGCATTCAAAGTTGTCTGCTCCATCATCCATGTTGCATTATTCTCTCTCTTTTCTTTCTCCTAGCCGCAGGGAGGGTGTGCCTGCAGAAGACACTCCGACTCTCAAGTCAATGACTTTGCATAATAATCTTATAATAAAGATTAGTAATTAGAGTTAAATTATGTGTCTTTTCTGTCAAACAAATATTTATAAATTATTATAATGAGCTTACCATTAGGTCTGACTCATTAATCACTAATAAATGGTATTATTCATATTAATTGTCAATAAATGACAATTATTTTCATTAATTTCTCAATTGTTAGACGGTCAGTCTCTCAGTCCTTTGGTTGACCAGGTAGTCCTACATTACAATGTCAATTCCAACAAAAGGGTTACCTTTTCCCCGTTAGGGGTTCTGATTACCCCAGGTGCAATACAATTACTCCTTATGTTGTCTTTTGCCCATTCAAATGCAAGATATTTTGTCATTTGGTTCATTGCTCCTGCATGCCAATTACGTACACCATTTCAAATTGCCTAGCTACCTAACTCTGCCACATGGAATGCAATGAACAATCACCTTTAGATGCACCATATACAACGGATGCTAAGTTGGTAGCTACAAAACCAGCAATGGAGGATATGAAAATGATACTTGCAGCTTTTGAAGCTTTTAGGAGAGGATGTGCAAGCTGGCTTAAGTGGAAACAAGATTCAAGATTCGTATTTGTTTCTGCTGAATGGGACCGGGGAAAACTCCTGCTGTCCCTGCCCGAAAACACTCCTCCTCGATTGATCGGTCCTTCGCCCTTCGCCTTCCTTATGCTCGCTCTCAGTATAAGTGGAGTGACCTGCAGGAAACACTCTGACGCTCAAGTCAGAATTGGTCTTTGCAGGTCTATGTAATTGTCCAAAAACAGAGAATTTACCTTCTCCTTCGATTGTTATTTATATGATTTCAGAGAATATTACCCATTAATTTACCTCTTAATGGCTTTCAATGCTAATCTTAAATACTCGACAACGACCATTACCTCATTAATTACACATTCATGAGCATTTAACTGCTGTCTCCAGCAAACACTTTTAGAAGCCCGCGCGATCGGACATATTAGACTTGAGAAACCCGATCGGACATATTAGACTTGAGAAACCCCATCAGACATATTAGACTTGAGAGACCCGATCGGACATATTAGACTTGAGAGACCCGATCGGACACATCTGAACACGCCCTGTCGGTTACTCCGCCCTCGATAGTAACAGTATTCATCAGGAATGTGAAATCTTCCGCTGTGAAATCCAGGGTCTGTTTCAGTATGTTTGTTCCCACGTTGTTTACCTACAATCCATTCAAAACTATTAACGAAAAAGAATATGTTTTAGTCCTACAAGTTGGATCCCAAATTAGTTCTCATTCTTATCATAGTTAGACAAGTTTTAGTATGAAAAGGTGAAAAAAGATGTCATTACAAGGATATTGAGTTTTCCATTGAACTGAGAGGAGACTCTCGCTATCAGCTCTTCTCTATTAACACGAGAGGTCACGTCACAGACCGAACCGGTTACTCTGTATCCTTTTGTGGTCCACTCCTTCAAGGATTCACTGAGTTCAGCTTGGTTCCGAGAACAAGTGTGTACGGTGGCCCCAAGCTCTGCCAACTCCTCAACTATAGCATATCTATGTGATAGTCAAAATAATAACATGAGAGAAATTAATAAGCAGAAACAATTCTCATGCAACATCCACTTATTGTACTTCTTCTTGTTACTATATTTTATTGGTACAAACATTCTTACAGATAAACACAAAAATGAACAACTTTTTCCACTAGCTTTCGTTGGTAACTGATAGCTAACAAATGAATAGGTATTTTTTAGAAATAAGTTTGAAATTGAGGAACAAAAAGTGATGAAAAATGTGAAAAAAAGGAGAGATGATATGAACCCGATTCCTTTGGATCCACCGGTGACCAGAGCTGTCATCCCCTGCAGACACCATCTGCTGCTTTTGCTACCACTGTTCGTCTCACCCATTTCTTTTTCTCTTCGATGAAGAATATGATATGTTATTTTGTATGGAAAAATACCACTAAAAATGATTTAGTAACATTTTAAAACGTTGTCTTTGTATTAGAAAAAAAGTTACTAAAAAACTCATTCAACATTTTTTGAATATTGGCCTTTTTAAGTATATATATGTAAAAATATTATTTAAAGTTATTAGTAAGTATAATTATTATGATAAAATGTTAGTATACTGTAAATAACATTTATTTTTAATATTTAGGAATTTGATTGTTACTGAATGTTATATATAGAGTGTATGATGAAGTAGGTTGAGTAATAAGTCATAGATGGTTAAGGTGGATTAAAAAGTTAAAAGTAAAATGTGGATGAAGCAGACGGATAATACCAAATGGTTTCAATAAATTTGGGTTGGATACTTAAGAGTTTTGAATTTAATAAAATTTACTATTTTCAATGAGAAATTAAGGATTTTTTTATTCCCAGTGACAACAACGAGAGCGAGAGATATGAAGAGTTATTAATAGTTAGAAGTTTGCATGTGCATGGTTGGTATTGACATGGAAGATGAAAGATAGAGATAAGTGCGATTGGAGCTGAAAATTCCTACGCAATGTGGTCCATGTACCCCCACAAAACATTGGGTTCGTTCTTCAGTTCTTTCTATTTCATTCACTCCCATCCTTATCTCCCATATTCCTTCCATGTGATCATCTACTACACTACAACCCCATGATTCAATGCCTCTCTGAGTTCGTCCAAATTCCAGTTTTCGCTTCCTTCTGCCACCCAAGAATGGCTTCGCATCAGTGTCACACTCAACCAAATTTTCAGATTCTGATCCAACCAACTGTTCAGCCTTCTTAAAAGATAAGATCAGTTAAAGCCCAAAAGTTTGTGATAAGGAAGGGTCCCAGAGGAAGATACTATTCAAGAACAAGGTTGTTTCTTGGAAATAAACGGAAAAGGACTGTGGTGGGGAGAAACACTTCACAGACAGACCATTGGGGTCTCAAACCATGTTTTTGTCTACCAATATGATACTGTTATTTTTAATCCCAATTTCCTATAATCATCTCATGTCATACGCTGCACTTTTTCTTTTAATGGAGGAATAAATGAGACAACATAAGTGCCTACGTCTCCCTTTTTGTCTCTCTTTTCATTCATATAAAAATACATGTATAATAACATAATGCTGAGAAAACAACCTCGTCGCTTCAAAGCATTCTTGTGAATCTGAGATTATGTCTACTGAAGTGATTATAATAAGACTTATTGGACCATTTTGCTTATCATGAGTTTAAAATCATAAATCATATATCCCAGAATCTCAAAGCTTTGTTCTTCTTCTAATCAGATGGCATGTCAACACTGTCACACTGTCTTTTCCAGTTCTTTCTTTTTCTTTTGAGGGCCCCCTGAGATTAGGGAGCAGTTTCCTTCTTTGTTGTGTTCCTATTTTGAAGCGTATGAAGTAAAATGCATCATACATAAAAAAATTGAAGTATATATATTCTGCTGTGTCACGAAACATCTCCTCAAAGGTCAATAATTCAGGTGATGATAACAGCTCTTCAATATATCAAATAAAAACAACAAGTGTTACAACTGAATTACCGGTAAAACATCCAAGTGGGACCATAGTTCAATATAGTTTTTGTTTCAGCAAGATGGTCAAACATAACTGAGGAGGATCATCTTCTCTACTTTCTTTCTATAAGGTTTTTCTTCCTTCTCAACTATTTATTTACTCTATACATGTACATATATCAACTCCGTCGTCTTTTTCTTTCTAACTATTATCATCTTCTGATGGAAAAAATATACTACAATTATCAATTCGCTTTTATTAATTTTTGCTTTAATTTTTCTTTTTAGTGAAGAACATAACAAAAATTGTAACAATGTTACGATCATCTCTCAAAAACCTCTCTTCAAATGAAAGAACTGAGTGACTGACTCCAACATCACATTATGTGAGTAATTATGGAAAAAAGATATTTTAAAACAAAATTTTTAACAACATTTTAATATAACATGTGTGTTATTTTATCATTAAATCATTATTTATTTGTTAATGTGTAGATATATTCTAAATTCAATAGAAAAATAACATGTGTTAAAATATTATAAAAAAATTATATTATAAGGTATCATTATTCGTAATTATATGATAAAAATTAAAGAAATAATGTTAAAAACATGGAGTACAGAATTCATGGTGTTCCAAACAACCCAACCAGTGAAAAATAGCCCTAATTGAGTTTGGACAATCCAACATAGCACGTAAGTTTTACAAATTTGTTGATAGGCGTTAAGGTTTTCTTAACTTCCTGAAATTTTAATTTAATATTGCATTTTTCAACTTCAAATTTATTTTTTTAAATCATTTTATCTTTGTAACAGTTCAACATTTGAAATTTTTTTACTGTTTAATATTGCATTTTTCAACTTCAATTTTTTTTTAAATCATTTTATCTTTGTAACAGTTCAAGATTTGAAAATTTTTTACTGTTACTTTTTTAAAATTTTAAACAATGATAAACTCTAAGTAAAATCAATTTACATAATGGTACAATTACAAATCTAAATTTCTTTGAGTAGAAAAGAGGGAGTCAGAGTTAAGATTTTTTTAACTTCCTGAAATTTTAATCAGTTATTATATTTTTCATGTTCAAATTTAATGTTTTTTTTTACTCATTTTATCTTTATAACAGTTCAGCATTTGAAAAAATTTGAATGTTATTTTTTAAATTTAAACCAATAATAGCTACACTAAATAATATCAATTTACATAAGAAATAATATAAAATATTAAAAAATTATATTATTTCTATTAAACTATCGAAAATATATTTTTCTTTGCATAAATGTGAAAATAAACTAAAGTGACGACTTCATAACGTGTTTTGTTATTCAATTTGAAGTTAACAGACATAATTATTTTAAAATATATATTTGACAATATAATTTTACTTAACAAAACAAACAAAATAAAATAGTTATCTAATTTTTGTTTAATATTTTTTAAATTTAATTTGATTTCCCGCTTTTGGAAGTAGTTACTGTCTTTGTTGTTTCAAGAGATGACCAGTTAATGTCTTTCTATCCTTCAGTAAATTCCATCACTTTGCTCATAATGGATGTGCCTATTTTCTTTTATGTAAATTCACAGTTTTGTTTCATTTTATTTATATCCTTACGTTAAATCTTTTATAAATAATTATAATTTTTTTACAAGTTAAAATTGATTTATACATCACATAATTTGAAAAAATAACTACTAAAAACTATTTTACAACAGTCAATTTCAATTTACATTTTTTTTGTTAGAACTATTTTATATCTGTAAAAGTAAAACTTACGTAAAATTATATATTCTACTACTAACATATTATATAAAGACTATAATAATATATTTGATGTTTTACACCATTACAAAATATAATTGCATTTAAAAATCATTAGAAAAGAAATTAAAATCATCATATTCCACGCAAAGAATAAATAATAAATATATAAAAAAATAAAACTTATGCAGTTTTACTCGAGTAAACTTGATAAGATAAAAATGATTTTTTTTCTTATACAGTTTTTTACTTTTTTATTTCTGCAGTCACACTTAGATTTACAATAGTGTTAATTGAAAAATTACACAATCACTAAAAGAAGTGGAAAAAGTAAAAAAGAAAGTGCGAATAGAATTGCCCATATTATGGCCTATTAGTAAGAAAATATACACTTTGATGTGGGGGCTTCTAATTGCCACACCTCCATAATTTCTTCGTACACTCCCTCAAATTTTCAAAATAACCCTTTTATCTTTCATAAAAGTATAACCAGTTCTTAAGAGAAGATGGGAAAAAGAAAAAAAAAATATTCCATTTTTGGTGAACAGAATGAGAAGCAAAGAGATATTTAAGCAAGTGGAATGAGAAGAGAAGGTGGAAAAAATTTATGGGTTTATTAATAATATTATTAATTTATTATTGTGTGGAGAAAAATGAAATGAAATGAAATAGAGGAATGGGTTTGGGTGGAAAGTGTGGCGTGGGCTGATGGCCGGCACCAGCCTCTCTCAAGTAATCCAATCGACGCTCCTGGAACTGCCCAGAACCACCGCCCACGTCAGAATCTCCGCCAAAAGCTACCGCGTCTCCGCCACCTCCGGCCATCGCCCCGAGGGACCCCACTGTATCTACGTTGGGCCCCTCGAAACCGCCGACAAAGAGAACCTCGAAGCTCTCTATTGCCAAGTAAAACCAAACCATTTCAATTTCACTCTCTGCAAAACTTCAATTTCGCTACTATTATGCAAATATTGATTAGTGTTTGGCTTTTTCAATAGGCACGGGATGCGTATAATAGTGGTCACCCTCTCATAATTGATGACATGTTTGATAAAGTAGAGGTTTGCTAGCTTCCTTCACTGTTGACTGTTTAGCCTGTCATAGTATATAGTTCTTAGTTTCTAATTTAGATTACTTTTTCTTTAATTATACTAAAATTATGGAAACAGTTAAGGTTAAGAAGCTATGGTTCAAAGTCTGTTGTCAAGTATCCTAGGTGCAGTATCAGGAGGCAATCCACATTTGCTGATGCTGAGGTAATTTTATTTTCTTCACAATCTTATATTAACTTCTTCTGTCACCTGTCTCTGATGGGTTGTGATCTCAAATCTTGGTCGCTGATTACTTATCATACTCTCCTCAGTTCTAGAATGAAGTGTTGGAGTATGTATTATCATTTTTTTCTGTCTTTTTCTTTCTGTTTGATACAGGGGAGATGAAGTAAGGGAAGAGATTGGTTTGAAAATTGAATTGGATAGAAGGTGGAAGGATAGGAAAATTAAGTCCTTGTCTGTTTACTGTTTTAAAATTTTGTTATCTGTTCTGTTCTCTTAAATTTGTTTGTATTTTGATTCATTGGAGAATGACTGTCCTCTGTTTGAGTATATTTATGTTTTCTAAAAGTTGATCTCTTGAGCACTTGAAGATAACAGGAAG